CTCTCTCTCTCTCTCTCTCTCTCTCTCTCTCTCTCTCTCTCTCTCTCTCTCTCTCTCTCTCTGTGTGTGTGTGTGTTTGTCGTTGCTGTCCTTGCAGGTGTGCGTCACCTTCCTCCAGCGGAGCGGCTACGGCGGACTCTTCTTCTTCATTGCACTTCCACTATGGCGCGTGGAATAACGGGAACCTGCTCTGATACCAATGCAATCAGACTGACTTTCTTCTTACTTCGCATGCATGTAAACAGATGGCAAATCACTCTAGCGCTAGGTGCCCACACAAAGCTCAGAGATACAAGCTCGCTTCAAGCAACTATGGCGCATGTGCACCCTTACATCACCCCTTGCAACACTGTATCCTCTCAACTTGTCCACACGCACACTTCACTGGACCTCCCTGGATATCCCACGCACATTCACTTTCACTGCACACTCATATAAACACACCCTGAAGACTACTCTAACCTGACACAGCTATGGCTGCTCGCTAACCCTAGCACTACTAGCAGCTATGACTGCTCTATCTCTCTCGCAGCCCACTTCAGCTTCGGGCATCTGCAGACCACCTCGCACAAGACGCTGGCAGCGCTTCCGCTTGGTTCGCAACAGAATGAATGGATTGCTGGACGCTGCCTCTTGATACTTCCGTTGGCCGCTGGTCTGCCCCTTTCCACCAGGCCCTGGTCCACTCAGTCCCACACGGTATTTTGTTTGTTATTGATGAAACGCCTTTCGATATTTCGCCACTTACCGCATTTGTGTTTGATGACGTCGCCATTGGTGTAGTAGTCGTTATCATTGTTGTTAACTCAAACTCACCAGAATAAGTGATGACAGGATTGGAGACACCAGCCTGCAGCTGAGCTTCGGTCATCAGCCTCTTCTTCAACTCATCGTAGTAATCAAACATCCTGGTCGAAAGTCATGTTACAACAGTTTATCAGAGTGTCAGCCCGCTGGTCTTGAGATAGGTTGGTGAGATACACTCATTTCAAACGTCAAACATGCACATCATGTATTGACAAAAACCACACAGAGCAATGATAGAAAAACAGGTAGCTTATTCAATCCAGAAAAGCGGATCCCCTGCGATCACAACACTTTTCTGGGACTTACTTCCCCATGACCGATAAGATTAGCCATTCTTGAATTCTAGGATCTATGAGTCCCACAGTGTCTTTTCGTTCTTTGTTAGTTGCACACTCAGAATCCGTTTCAAAACCGGGTCGATCTTCACTTCACAGCCCAGGAATTCCCACTGCCCTATACCATTGTCGGTACGTTTCAGGGAAAGGTTGGAGGGATAACATTGTTCAAACTTTCCCCAAATCTCATCGACTTGCTGCTCAGTCAAGGTCTTGTTAGCCACAACCAGACTCACATCATCAATCAAACGAACACGGAAGACCCTCTGCCTATTCACCCCTAAGCTGCAAAGGAATTTGTACTCCACGTGGGCACAGAGAATACACGCCAACGGCGGGCTTGTACTCTTGCCCATAGGGATACCAATTCGCTGCTGCAGCAAAACATTCAAAGCAAATGTGTACGTGTGTTTGAGCTCGATCTGAACAGTCGTCCGCAGGTCCGTCCCGACCGTAGTTCAAAACGGCAATAATAACAGTGGCCCGCATTATACACATGGTGCCTGTTCGAAACAGGCACTTTTGTCTTCTTCTTTTTTTTTTTTTTTCTTTTTT